TGCGTGCAAGTTTTCCCTTGGTGGTCGATTAGGATAACGTTGATTTCATTTTTCCTACCCGCGGAAAGTTTGGATCCAGGACTTCTGGGGAAAAGCGAAACGACCAACAGTAACAACACGCAATGTGAGAATTGTGCATTGTGCAAGTCTTAAAAAATAGACTGACGTCGAAATCGTTCCAAGAACGAGTTTGCCATAATATGAAATACCGCCGCGTTAAAAAAATTAAGTCAACTCCGCTAAAGCGAAATGTCAACGGACCCGCCGATTTTTTGCCGTATCAGACTTTTCGTTATACTGATAGAGTCTTTTAAGAGAAGCGGGAGAATAAAAAAGAATTTTAAAGAAAAGCTAGTATCCGCCCTCGTAAACCGACTGCTATTATTACATATTCTGAGGGCTATCGTGAAGTTCATGCGCCTTCAATTTTGCTGTATAGGCATCAAGCATACGGAAAGTCACGAATAAATATAGATCAGAATAATATGCTGCCATCTCACTTCATGGTTTAATCATTCTGGCCATTACAATAAATTACTTTTGCTCTACATGCATTTTGAAATGTAATTTTGGAGAAACTCATCGTACCACTGTCATTCGTAGTTTAAAGTACGTGGTACCATGCTGGGGAGCAGTGTATGAGCATGTGTTTAAAAAATGAAATTTCATTTTGACAACAAATTTTTCGTTGTAAAAATATTTTTTTGTTTTAAAAAAAATTAAAAGCGGTTAATGGTGATTTAAATAAGCTGCGCACACGACTTATGTCTGCCAACTTTTGCTATTTGGGTTTAAATTCGGACCAACTTACCGATATTTTACGTCTGAAGATTCCTCTGAGACACCAAGGGAGGTATCTCTTTTCATTTTCACTCTTTGCAGTGTCCGTGTTAAACCCCTCAGCAGCTGGCTCGAAGAGCGTTCCATCTAATCCACGGCTCTACAACATTATCGTAGTTTTCATCTCAAAATGTTCACAAGGTGAAACCCAATTTGAGCGCTGCTACACATGTACATGGATTTTTATATGTGGTCGCCGAGCAAAGGACCACTAGACAAGGTACGAATTTCAGCATTCTGATATATGGACTGCATTTTGCAATTTGGACCTATAAATTCCGGCCCGGTTTAAAAACAACGTATGTGCCATTAGTTTCCCTATGCACATAAGTGTTTTTTCAGATGAGCCAGAATTTATAGGTCCAAATTGCATAATGCAGTCCATATGATTCTTAACCAAAATTTCATGAGATCACGATTTGCGGAACAAAACTTACTGATATTAATTCCTAACTCAGATAGTCTATGTTTCTTGACGCGTGAATTCAAGCCTCCCGCTCATGAAAACTCAATGCTCTATACGTGATTCACATCGCGCGCTAAACGTTATCATGAAAGTCTCTGCGATATAAAAATCTGGCAACTCAATCTTGACACTTTGGCTCAGCTATGGCCAATTGCTTATGGTTTGAACATCACATGGTGGGAAATGAACATTGCTCGATTGAGAAGCTTGCTGAAATCGTTGTAGTGCGCAATTTGACTCACGGAGAGCTTTGAGTTTCTTATGAGCGGGCAGTTCAAATTCCTTGTAATCAATGTGAGATAAAAACGTTAATATCTTCGTAAGGAGTTGGTTTCAGTAATTTTCGTTTCGCGAACCGCGTTCTACGTGAAATTCTGGTTAAGAAACATGTATCAGAATGCTTCAACTCATACCTTGTCTAGTGGTCCATTTTGTGATGTATAAAACTGACAAAAATCGTAGCCAAACTAGCAGTTTCGGGATAGTTGTTCAGCTATTGCCTGTTTTTCAAGGATAGACGTTGTAGTTTTATATCTTGACATTACTATAAAGTAACTGCTGTAGCGGTTAATTGTTGGTCATTTCTTCCTGTTTCTCTTAGAAGATTCCTCTTTTCTAAAATATTTAATTTTAGTAAAAGTTATGCTATATGTGCGCAATTTTTTTTCTTAAGGAAATGACAAGATAAAATGGTGAATCTTAGTCTCCGAAAAATTTAAAGCAAAAATATCATGAGTCTTTAATCGATTTTTTTTTAAAACAACTTTTCAACATCCAAATACTCGTGTGGATTTTTTTTTGCTAAGCACGAGATCATTGCGCTTGGTTTTGTGTTGTCTCTAACTCTTTAAACCCTGGAGTTTAATGGGTACACTTTTTGCTCCACCCAGAAAAGTTCATAGCATCATATCAAAATTTTCGGCCGGGGCATTGAAAGCTTTTTAGTTTTTGCACCGTAATTTTATAACTAAACCCACCATCAAAGAACTAATGTATAGGTGTATTAACGAAAAGTCTTTTCATCCATGACGTCATGATAGCTTTGACTTTTCACATTTCAAAAACGCACACTTCACAATTGCCAATCGGTTTAGGTAATAATTTTAAAAACATTTCGAAACGACCTCAAGTCTCCCTTTCTTGTTCCTTTCTCTTCCTTCTTCCTTTTTTATTAATAGTTTATTATTAAAAAAAATTATTCCGGTGAACGCTAGATGATACCAATAATTAAGATGAATGGATCTTGTCAATAGAATATTACACGATATGATATTGTAACATATTACGACTAAAATGGAAACCTTAGACACATAAACATATGCAAAGCGACATATTTTAGGCCTTTTAGATATCGATTTTTTGGATGGAGCGAGTCTCGTGTAAATTTTTCGTGTAATCAGTCGAAAGTCACGAATCAGTTTTCAATCAAGCAACTTACATATCTCAGAAGTAATGTTGAAACCACATAAATTATTATATCATAATAATCCTTTCATCAGGCATTCTAAATATATTCGCGTCCACCTTTCTTCTTATACTGACTAAACTGGGATAAAACAGCATTGAACTGATTTCATATGCTTACCTCTCTTTTCAAGGCATCATTCTCAAGCAGTTTTGAGAGCATCAGTAGGATTGTAATTTTGCTCACCACTCCGCACATAACAGAATTTTCACGAACTAATCGTGCTCTTGCATCTGTGTCTGGGGTCAGCACATTAAGGAGGATGACTTCTTTACTTAAGGATGAGGAGAAGGACAGATGTACACAAAAAGTTAATATTGCACTGTTGTAATTACTGACTAAATTTCAAGTTTAAATGCCTCGGATGCAAAGTATTTAAAAAAATCGCCCTCTTTTAATCGTAAAGTAATGGAGTACGTTTATCTCACTATTGGAACTGAGAACTACATTCAATGCGTTTCTTCTCTTCTTTATATGCAAGGATGCGTCTCTAAGTCGCATTTGATATCCGCATTTTACGCACTAGGCATATTTTTTTTCATCGTATTCAGTCATCAAATGACGCATGACGTTTTCATGAAAAAACGGTCAAACGAAAAAGCATGAACCGCCCTATCGATGGAAACAATAGAGCCTGATGAAAGGTATTAATTTTTCCAGAGTCGAGAAATTCGAATATCCGCTTACGTCGTTGTAAAGCTCCGCTCATGTTTCATTTTATAAAAAGAAAACTTACCAAGGGTGGTTTTGAAAATTATCTTGATTGGTTTTCCTTCAAGAATTAAAAAAAACACAATCGGAAATTTTGGTTCTTGGTTTTTTTCAGCTTTGATTCCTCCGCAGAGCAGAGTGGACTTATGTGCCTCCTCATATGTGCTTTATTTCGGACATATACTCATATTTGCAAATAACTAGGAAAAACACAAAACAATGGGTAAACAAGGCTGAAAACAGAGACATAAAAAAACCTAGGAGTTTTCGGGATGATCTCAATTCTCTCCTCGACCAGGAAACAAAAATAAAATTGAAACATAAATTATAAAAATTAAGAGATCTTTAAACGCCCATTTGCGGTGATGACAAGAAAACGCCAATACTAAGTTTGCACATAACTTGTACGCATTAAATTTTTGTATAACAAGTTCGAGGTCATGCACATATTAGAAAAAGAAATCAAAATTTTCAGTTCATATGAAAATTAGAACACGAATCCTAAGATGTTATGGAGTACCCGGTATTTCGATTGATTTTACCGAGGGTATCCGATCGAATTGATCAAATATTTGATTGATCTAAACGAAAGAAATTAAACCGAAAGGAACCAAAGACGTGGGTATTTTGAACTACATAAACTAATGCTTGAAATAAATAAAACAACGAATGAATTGATTGTACATTCCTTATTTTGTTTATTCTGTCGGACGAATCGATTGATGAAATTTTATAATAGAATCAGAGATAGTTCGATGCCCACAATTCAAAAAGCCCCGAGCATGAAAAAAGCTGCATCACAGGAATGGCAATCTACTTAATCTGTGTACAAAAATAGTAACAACATAACCATATGTTTGCGTTCAGAGACATGGCATTGAAACTGCGATTGGAATGAACTCATTCTGATGATATGCTGAAAAAGGAGGGGACTTTCAATCTAATCGATTTTTCGAACATTTTTTTCTAAATCTAAATGTTTGCCAGAAGAACTATGAAAATAACTTGATTATCATGTCTATGTTCAGTGACGAAAAAATTGAAACTGTACGCGCGCATTAAAAAGGGCATTCCATGGATGGGGACAATAACTTTCAATTTGATTAATTCTGGAGGTTCATTCGGAAGATTTTTCAATACGTGCGAAAGATTATTTTTTAAAAAAAATGATTACATACTTAATTTGGAAATATTTTTTTTCCGGTTCTTTATAGTTTAAGGACAATTTCAAACCCTCAGCGAGCATTGAACGTTTGCTCCGAATTTAGAGCCCAGTATAGAACGACAACAAGGAACAGCAAAATTGCCTCCCCCCCCCCTAATTTTTCAAATTTTGAGGAGTAATCTGCTCTTTAATGGATAATTGAGATGGGAGCGTAGATAATTAAAATTTTCTGTGACGACAATGCCGATCACAGTCTGCGTGTGAGAGGTGCTATGCAGCCATGCGCCCATGCGTGCGTCAATTTGAGGCGCCACAAGGTCCAAAAGTTGATGATTTCCCAGAATTTCTTTCTAGTTTTGCGCAGCACGTACTGAGTGTAGGCTGAATCAGATTTAGATCGATACGTGGACGTTTCAATCAATTCATATTTATCTCCTTCCCGGCTTGCTGACTGTGCAATTTACGCAAGTTTAGGCGAAAAAAATCATGAGCGACAGGATAAGTGAAGGTCTTGAGTCATCAGAATGACTAACAAGGGTTGATGACAAATATCCTTCAGCGAGAGGATTGTTTGAGGGGAAAATACAATATTTATAAACAAACAACATAACAAACAGAAGGGATTAGGAGCTTCTGGGCCTCGTAAGCTGTTCAGGTGGAAGTACACCAAGAAAATATTTTTAAGGTAAGTCCACGAATTTTTTCTAAGAGCATTTGAAACCCCCAGGTTTTCATCGAAATTATTTCTCTGACACAAATTTGAAAGTAAAACTCTGGAAAGACAGATTGCCAACATGATACAAACTGAGAAAAATGAAACGATGTGTACTATGAGTGATGTACAAACGATGTATGGTTTGTTGGAGGACCGGGTGCTGTGGCGGTTAGACGTTGTAGAGCACCAGAAAGTGCTGTAAAAGCAACTATCGTGTTTGTTCAATATGAAGGGTGGCAAAGTTTCGTACCTAGAGGACAATCTGGTTCTTGGTCATACGCCGTTCTGTGTGACCTTTGAGTGGAAATACATCATGTTATTTTCCTTGCGTGAAAAAGTATGCGAAGTACACAAAATATACATTTTCCTGTGGTTACACCTTCTTACTGTAGAGTATTTGCAGATTTTTCCTTCATTACTGGTAGAAATAACAAGCGCACTTCCTCTACTTAAAAATTCTATCAGGTGGTTTTTTAAAAAACTTACGTCTGCAATAATTCAGCCTATGAGTCATTAGTACATTAAAGATTAGAAAAAATGCAAAAAAAAACACACACAACCCGANNGGGGGGGGGGGGGGGGGGGAGGATTCCTCGGGTCTTAGCTCAAATATCGGTTAAAAAAGTGTCACTTCTAGTCACGCATATGCCCGCAAGCAACTCCTCAAACGAGCTTAACCTATCATCGTGCTTCGATGGCAAAACTATGAAACCACGTTATCTTGGTTTGCGACGTCCATGGGCGGAAATAGGGAGGAAGGCTGGGGGGCCGGCCCCTTCCAAAAATGTCACGGACCCAAGCTACTAAATAAGGCATATGGAATGTAATAAATATGGGCTTCATCCTAATGTAATCGATCAAAGATGTCAGAAAAATGAAAATTAGTTGCAAAGAGAGCGGCTTCCTCCGTGTAAGGAACATGGAATGCAGTTTGACTGTATCCGGTTGTGGTTTTTCGCGCATTTAAGCGCAATACTTGCTTTCATGAGAGTTAAATTAAGATCAATTCAATTTAAACCCACAATAATAAGATATGATATTTTTGAAAACAAGTCAGCAAAATTTCTGTCATCTGTAATATTTAATTCCATTTAATTGTCATTGAGAATGGCTTAAAATTGCTCCCAAGACGTTCTAATTTTCAGAATTTTCCGGGGGAGGCTCCCCGAACCCCCCTCTGCAGCTAAGGAAGTCCCCCCAGACCCCCCTTAGCCCAAGTCATATATCCTTCTGTGGCCCCCCCACAAAAAATTCCTAATTCCGCCCATGGTGACGTCCCATGCAGAATCCCTGTCACGTTTTACTATCCTCAAAAACAACTGATCTATTTTGCACAAAATGATGTTGGATTTTTTTTATACGACTATTTTTTGAAAATTCTGCAAAAAAATGTCTGATATAATATTTTAAAAAACAAGAGAAAAAATAAATGGAAAATCAAATTTTTGCTGTCAGCGCACGTAATACTAGTGATTCAACATGGTATGGTAAATCAATCTCGGGTGGTTGGGAAAGACGGAAAAAAATTTCAAAGAGTGCTTGACATTTTCAAATTATTCTATGACAGGTTCTGTCACAATGAATTTTTCTCTCAGACCTACAGTATCTTTTTTTCGGAGGTTCAAAATGTAGGAGAAATTCTCAGAAGCAAATCTAGATCGTCTCCCTTAACACGCAGAATTATGGTGTGTGACGTTCGTTCAGGATTTCATAACTCACTTTGTTGCTTACAAACTCACAACTATGGTAATGTTTATTATTCTTTTCACGATATAAAATACGTTTCAATGATCACAAATCTAGATGGTTTCAATGTTCCGATGGATGGTATCCTTCGCGCTTTCAATCCTGTGCACATGTTGTGCGGAAGCTGCAGAATTCATGTACCCGAAGGATTTTCAGTCCCATCTGGCGGAGAGTAAGTGAAGAACACATCTCAGATAATTTTGACTGATTTTTTTGGATTGCGAAATTTTCTCTTAAATACTAGACTCAAAATGATTACTGTTAAGAAGTTACAAAACCTTGGGATATTTATGCATCGATGGCTGAAGTGCAGTGGCGTGGCGTGTTTTGCGATATATCGATTGTTCTGCCATTAAAATTCATGGGAAAGAATCGATTATTAAGGTGTTCGCTGCAAACACCCTGGGTATCGATCCTTTTCCATAGGTTTAAATGGCATGGCGATCGATATATCGCAAAACAAATTACATTTGCTTTTTTGCAAAATGCTTTTCTTTTAAATGTAGGTATAAAAAAAATCGAATTAAGAAAAAAAATTACAAACGAGAGAAGGCGACAAAATCTCTCATTTCCTGAGAGTATAGTAATTTCTAATTTTGTCGTCTTTCAGTGATCCAAGAGAGAGCACCTTTAATTAGTCGAGTTAAGAGGGAAACCAAACACGCAATTTGGCCTGGAACGGCGCGACTTAGAGAGAAATGATGACGAGGCCTTGAGATGAAGAAGAGAAGCCCTCGGCGCGGCGATCGGCATGTAACACATATTAGCGCCTACAAGACTGCACGAATACTTCTCGCATTGCGTCAAACACAGTGCGTTCAGCAGCGGTCGGCGTGAAACTCATCGCGCCTACAAGACTGTCTGAATACTTCACGTATTGCGCCAAACTCGGTGCGGTCTGCGTGGCGCGGCGGCGGAAGTTAAAATCATTAATCCACATTTATATTTGTTCTTTCATAATTTTTTCGTTCATTTCTTATGAAAAGAAGGCCTTGTCTACACAGAGATAGGTTTACGAAACTGAACCTTCGCGCAAAGTTCCGTGAACTTTTGCTAGTATTGTTGACGGGGCTTTTCCGAAAAATGTGTTCAACACGAGAAAACGCGTCTTATGCACCCCTCCTCCGCTGGCTCGTTCATTTGATGGTTTTTATTGATGTTTCAAAACGAATGAGAAGGGGGCGGCAAAATGCAGGCGGCCCACAGGCGGCAAGTAGATAAATCCGGCCCTGACTCCGTTCATCCAAGACTTGAAAGTTTTAAAAGTGGTTCCATTGGTTTCCTTGTGAAATTTTATTTTTGTAACACCCCTTAAAATTTAAAATGTGACTAATTGAACATCAAAATTTGCAGTTTCAGTTGACAATTTCATGTCCGACCCCTCTGATTGACTCGTGCTTCTGTGCGACGCCGGGAAAGCACTGTCCTCGAAAGAAATCTGGGAGTTAATCATTGTTTTTTTCATTTAAACTTTGCTGTAAATCATAAAGGCTTGAATAAAATAAAGCTAGCTTCAAAATTCGTCGTTTTACGTACGTACAAGGGAACGTAAATACATCGAGTCGATCTTGGAACATTTTGGAATGGGATTATGTTCCTTTGTCTAGGAAACAAACAACTTTCAGATGGATTTTAACATTAATTACTGCGACGCAAGATAAGAAGGCAGTGCGAGACACAATTCTTCAATTACATGACTATTTCTGCTGGGAGGTTCTTTTTTTGGCCTACCTTGTACATTGAAGGCGGGACAGCAATATGCGTCACCTTTACGCTATAGTCGTGACAATGATTCTGCTTCATCATTTTTGGTTGGAAAGGGCCCCTCCCGCTATGGCGAATAATTCTATGATTGTTTTTTGGACATTTAAGGCTATTTCCTAATTTTAAAAGTTTCTGTTACAGAATAAATCTCAACAAAACAAAACAAAAAAAGCGATATTGAATAAAAGCCTGAAACTTTTCGACTGGTTTCCGAGTCTGAAAAACAAAAAATGAAAACTTAATGATGGAAAGTTATTCCTGATAAGACAACACTTAGGCACTGGAGTAAAAGCATAAGAAATTGATGAACTAAACTTGAAAACCCCTCTTTTCGGTACCTGAAACCTGTGTTCTTACTCCTCTTATCCTCTCTCTTCCTTTATCTGTTCCCTTTCATTTGAAGGTGCAACTTGAGAGACACGATTCATTAACCTTTTCTTAGGCTTTGATTGAAGTAAATTCAAGATTTTTTACAATTTATCATTTTATTTTTCTCACGAAGACCAAAAGGTAATACAATATAGAACTCCCGTGCGTTTAGTTAGTTGCATGCTGTCGGTGGTGAAAAATTATTCAATTTTTAAATACTACACCTCGATCTTCAAAAAGTTTTCGGCATGACGATACATGTACTTTCACCACTTCCCAATGCACTTTACTTTCAACAGCTGGTGTACATATCACTGTCATTTTTCCTTTTTTCCTCTTTTTTTTATTAACACGAGGAAAAATTGAAAGTTTTTCGGTTTCAATATCAGTTTTGGCAGATTTTCCTCTTTTAACGGCGAATTGAAGCCAGGCTGATAATATACAAAAGTCAATTGCCACATGAGAACATTACTCACAGTCGAGCTTCCTTGAGCGCTTATCGGTTGAAATGGTAAAATATTCAACATTTTCAAAATGATTGATATAATTAAGGGAAACAAGACTTCACCAGGGATTTTCTTTAAGATAAGCTGTTTATGCATAAATGCAATAGATTTCAGCCCACAATCAGAACTGCTGACCGGAACGTAACGCGAACAAATGCATATTGGCAATGTCACATTCACATTTTCAGGAAGAAAAATCAGTACTTTCGGTGCAGCTCCAACGACAGTTTTATCACTAGTAAATTTTTAAAGAATTGTTTTTAGAAAAATATTTAAAATCATTTTCACGCAGCAGTTATTTCGAGATATCTCACCGTTGTAAAATCATTCGAGTTACTACATGAAACTTCAATCTTAAGTGTTGGTGAATCTCGATGATGGACTGTCACTAGTGATTTGGTCGTTGTGACTTACCAAGCATATTCCTCGCTTTTCTGCAAGAGCATTTTTGGGAAGAACGAAGGGAGGGTAATTAGCAGGCAACGCGCACGCAGAATTTTTACGCAAATTAGGACTCTACTTGCGCTATTACCAAAATGTCTCGCAAATAGAATGCTTATTCGCTGTGGACCGCGTTAAACAAATCCCAGATATGTCTTTCATTTTTCAATGAAAAGAAGAAAAAAACTTGAAGGCTATCGCACGGAGTAAAGTTTCTTGTTGAATCAATAGAAATTCTTGTTAAGCAAGCCATGAAAGACATTTTTCGTTGAAAAAACAGGAAAAAGTCTCTGTGCCTCAAACAGTACTCCTATTATTATTTTATAAAGAGACGTCTGATCACTTTACAGAGATTCCCGGTTGATCCAACGAGAAATTCCTGTCACGGCATGTTGAACAGGATCATCTTACTCGGTGTGATGCATAAATACTAAGTGGGCAGAAAAATTCATAAAAATTCATAAAAAAAATTATAAAAATTATAAAATTCATATCATGTTCTTGCCGCGCATCATATATTATTCATTCTGCTCTGAAGCAATCGGAAAAGCTGTGTATTGCCTGCAAGTTTTAGTGGCAGAAGCATTTGAGCTAAAATCTTAAGTTTTAAACATGAAAATAAATGTACATGGCTATAAGTATTAAAGTAAATCTTTATTGAGCATGTGGGTAAATTTTACATAAGATGTAAAATTTGATTATAGTTTACTATTGTTACTGACGAAACTTGGCAATATTTTGCGGCTGACATGCGGCATCGTGTTTAGAATTTCGCGCGGTTTACATAGCTGTGCGCGGAGTGGATCGCAGATTAAATGTGAGGATAATTACCCGTGCCGAAGGACTCAATACAGCGATGATTGAGAATTTTCACAAATTAGCTCTGCTCTTTGTCAATTTTTAGGCAGAAAATCTGCGACTGAAATTTATGGACGCTTCTTACCATTCAACTGCACTCTGGGTCTCAATTTCCAAGGAGTTTGACTGTGTGCTGAGGCTCAGAGGCACAGTCAATTGCTAAACATTTTTTCGAAAAGTTACCGTGGCCGTTCCTTCAATATCTTAATTTTTATCGCTTTATTTACTTATCAAATTGACCGATATCTCTGTAGGTCCCTGGAATAATTAATGACGCTATATAGTTAATCGATTATTTGACGCAAAATGTATATGTTGTTAGTGGTTTATGCCGTGTGCGCAAGAAATGCGATTGCGAATGGTCAAAACTATGAAGTCACTGATTATGAAACAAACTATCCACCCTCATGTAACAGGTAAGACTGGCAACGCATCTATTTCATCGTAATAATTTAATCCATTTTGGGTCTGTTATTATTTCTCATTATTTTAATAAAACATCATTTTTTTAAAAGAAAATATGCAATTTTTGTGTTTAAATCATTCGTTCCTGAGAATGATCGAAGAATGGTTTACTTAGATAACTGGAAGGTGAGCCCCTTGAAAGTTGCACTTTTCGTTTGCATGCACTTTTAGCAATTTATTTACCTTCTGACTTGCACGGAAAAAATGGATCGCTGATTTAACATAATTATATTGTTAAAATATATGCCCGACATATTTCAAATGTACACGTTCCAACCACTTCAAAGACCCCTTAAAAAGACTATGCGTAAGGACCGTCGCCATCATAGTCGTTCCTTAAATAGTTCCTTTCTTTAGGTAGGAAGAAGAGGGTAGGGTAGGGTAGGTAGAATTTTTCCTTCTTTGTTTTATATTTTTTAGACAATCAAATGGAATATATTTTGCAATTGGAAACTAGTATTCCTAGCTCAATTTAGACAAAACATATGTACTATTAGTTGCACCATGGGTATTCGTGCCTCCGTGGGTGAGCCAGGAATACCATTTCCTAATTGCAAAGTGTAGTCCAAACCATTTCAATCCCTCGTGAATTTCTGTTACCAAAGTAATTTTATTTAATTTAATTCGACGCTCGTGTAAATTGTCCTTTCAACGGTGCAATAGTTCAAAAGCCTCCTGAATAATAATGTAAACCAAGTTGCCGTGCTTAGGAAAAACGATGTATGAATATTCGAGAGTTGCCAAATTTCCTTCGATAAAATATTTATTTTTGAGGAAAGTTATGAACATTTTTCCTTGAAATTCTCAAGAACTTTGGGTGAAATTACGAACAAAATTATCTAAAAAAATTGGAAGAAAAGTATTCATAAGTTAACCAGAAAATTCTTGTTTTATCGAAGGAAATTTGGCAACGCCTGAAGGTTCATACGGCGTTTTCCCTTAGCACGGCAGCACAGTCGACTTATCTGAGGATTAGAAAAGGTGTGAGGAATACGACTCAGAGTACATCAGCTCAGTTTTTATTTTGAAAAACTAAAAATTGCGAATGTTTCAGGCCAATTTTTTGTGAGAGCGATTTGCTGCACGACGTGGCTTTGTCTGATATCGACAAAGATCTGAGCACACCGTTCTTGCGCAGGAAGCTTCGATACCCTCCGGACGTGATTCTGGATCGGTACCAAGCCCTGAAGGAGAGTTATGGCGGGCGACCTATGTCTAGACCGGAGCTTCTTCAGTTCGTCAACGAAACCACGGAAGAAGCCCACGAACTCATAGAGTGGGTCCCCGACGAATACAAGGAGGTAAACTTTAGGGGCTGTCCATGAGTGACGTCAGGGTTGTAAGGGGGAGGGAGGTCAGGCCGATTCTAACGCAGAGAGACCCTCACTGGAAAAAAAACACATTGAATCTAGAGCCCAGACTCTTGGAAAAATTGACAAAAAAAAAATACTCTTGTTTCAATCAGATTTAAGATTAAATCAAAAGGAAATCCGCTCAAATTAAGAGGTTTGGTTCTCGATCTAAGCAAAAATCCGATTGAATCAAGAGTATTTTTTCTTGTCGATGTTTTTAAGAGTCTGCGGACTCTAGATACAATGTGTTTTTTTCCAGTGTTCCACTTGTATAGCCCTGCATAGACGATCAAATTCCGAACCAATTCCGATCAAAGTAGACATGCTGATGACTGGTGGTCACCATCTACCATCAAATTTTGACGGGCCGCATTTTTTTGTTCAAAGTAAGATCAGAACGAAGTGCCACCATTCATCATTTCCTGCCATAGGAAACATTTCTGCCAAGTTTTCATTTTAAAATGAAGCAAATTAATGAGTTTAAGACTGATGATTCCCGACACTTTGATGCTACTTTGATCGGAATTGGTTCGGAAAGATCGTCTATCGAGGCCTTGTCATGGCAATGGTGGAAGCTTTTACTTTCGGGACTTCAATATTAAACTGTTGACTTATCTACGTGGTTGATGTTAAACAACGTGTTGGCAGTTCCGTTTTGCAAACAAGCCGAAGTTTGGGAAATTTGTTTGGCTCATGACGTCACTCGAAGCTCATCATCCACCATGTAGGTAGGTCAACAGCCGAAAAAAGAGTGATGACTGTTGCGCCCTTATTTGTCCAGAAGGAAGCGTCGCATCCCCGAAAGTAAAAATTTCCACCTGAGGAGTTTGTGCTAAATCTGACGTGATTTTCAAAAGAGAGAGGGTTCAAAATTGCCTGTCCTGACATGGGGAGAGGAGGAGGGCGTAAAAAATTTAAAAACAAACCTGCATGACGTCATTAATGGACGACCTCTCACATCAAATACTAATAGGCCTGTTGCAAACTTCAAGCTAGAGGAAAAAGAAGAGTTGTCTCTTAACTGTAGAGGAACAAAATTCTTTAAATCAAATTTTGGAAAAAGGAACTTCAAGGCAAACTCTATAAAATAATTTCATAAGATTACTCCAAGTAGAGAGTCTGAACTCTAGATCCAAGCGACTTTTTTTCTAGTATCGGCTCTTCGATTCAAGGAAAAATCGGATTGAATCAAGACAATTTTTCTTGTCAATGTTATTAAGAGTCTGGACTCTAGATCCAAGCGACTATTTGCCAGAGTAAATAAATTATTATCATGCGATTCATTGCAAAAGTTAAAATTTAGATTTAATAGCTTATTTCCCTTCACAATAAATTTTTCATTTCAACTAGCGCAAATTAGTAAATCGCATTCTACGTTTGCAATATCTAAAGGTTTTTTAAGCGTCATATTGAAGGAACTAGAGCATGTCCTTTTGACGGTGACTAACCAAAATGACTAATTTGATAAAAGGCGATGTGGAAACCTGAAATTTTCACGGATATTTCACTTGCACTTTCGTGTAAATGAATAATTCATAAAGTCTTGTCTCTCTGATGATTGCTACTGACCTGTTATCAATAGTGTCAATTTGATGCACTTATGCAAATGTCTGCATATCTTCAATAAAACTCAAAGAAAGCCGACATTTTGCATTGTAAATTCCACCCGATTGTTCAAAACTACGAGTTCCAGCAACTGGAGGACTTTCTTTTGTCTTGAATATTTGTCGTACTGCCACATGTGCATATGCCGTCATCTTCATGATACTTAATTAAATAAGAGACTAAAAGTTTTTCTTCAGAAACTTGAACGTTAGCATGAGTAAGAAATAATGGTTGTTCATCAATGTAGCTATGTCAGGGTTAGTTGGAAGAATTTCCTGCGTTGAGTTGCCTAGTAAAGTTAACATGAAGCACAGAGGAAATTTGGTAGTCTTATCAAAATTGTGCGCGTCAAAAGAGATTAAAATAGCATTCATCATTCAGAAATGACTAATTGTATTCGATTGATTGTGCGAAGTGGTTCCCGAAATTAAAAGTCGGAACTCCCTAAATAATTGATCACGAGGATAATGCAATAGAATTGCGAATTCGCGCGACAAAGCTCTCCATTACAATCGCGGATGAGAAAAAGTAAAAGAAGACAAAAGAAACTGTGGAAGACGATTCACGAGAGTGCAGAATCAATCATCCGACAATGGAGGGCCACTCCGCCTTGAAGTATCTATTCAAGCGCAGTCGTCATGGGGTTGCATATGCGTATTTTTGAAGGCAATTCTTGGACCCACTCTACAGAACGAATTGGCAAAGGTTGCACAATGGCTGTATATTTCTTACAAGTCTTCAAATTATACTGCCATCATCAGGAAGAATGCCGTATGAGCCTTCGAAAGTTGCCAAAGTTTGATAAAACACTAATTTCCAGGGAGACGTACACATTATTTTCTTTCGAGTTTTCCTTTTACTTCTATTTTTATCATCTATTATTTTTCGAAAGACAATTAAAGAAATTATCCATGGAGTGTGCAAGAAGTTTTTCATGTGATTGGAATTTAAAAAACAACCACATATTCCGGGCTGCCGTCATTTAATTTTTGAACTTACAAAGCAAGGTGCCAGTGCTTTGACAACGTATACTAGTTTGGTCTAAACAAGCTTGAATGAAATACTAGAATACATGTTTTTCTTTAAATTTTTATTTTTTCAGTAAGAATCCAACACAAGAACCACAATTACTATCCAAATTGCTAGTTATGCTAATATGACCATCTGAAATTCGAAAGGAAAGGGTGTCTTGGTATTGATAAATTAAAAATTGATATGATAACATCACTGCTTAGTAGATTAGTTTATATTCATTTGGCACAAAAACAGCATCCAAACCGTGTAGTGCCGTCTTACGTCACTTCGACTTCATCAGCAATTATCAATTAAATGTTATCTCATTGTTGAATCATCATTTTTTTAAGAGTGGCATTTTTTCATAAAAGTAATGATAATAAACACTACGTATGTCGATCATATTTTGCGAATAATTATAAGCACCATTATGTCGATGATATTTTGCGCAAAGATTGCACAGCAATTCACCATCGATCTAGAAAAAAATTAGTAACTTTAACAAACACATTAAATGGCAATAAAAACCACAAACAATCTAATTGGAACAACAAACAAGTGAACCTGCTTCGAAAACTTTAATAGCTTTCAATGGAACGCAATTACAATATGTTGCTATCTGAACTCAGAAGATAAAGACTCGGAACTAACAAATTCACTTGATCAAATTGAAACCATTATCAAGATGAATAAAAATCAGAAAATCATAATCACCGGAGACTTTAATAGCAGCTCAAACTTATGGAGCGATATTGAAATTAACTCTAGAGGACGAATAGTTGAAGAATGGATGATCTCCAATAACCTCCATTATCTAAACAATAGAAAAGAGTTCATTCCAACTTTCATCGGTCACAGAGGATCTTCGTTTGTAGACTTGACGTTCGTCACAGAAGATATACTCCAAGATAGACTCCTAGAAGGTGTTTTATCTAATAACCAATTGAGGTTTCGCAAGAATAGATCCACAACCCATGCGATGAAACTCGTGCAGATAGGTATACGAAGCTAACAGAAACATACCCTACGACGAGAGAAAAATGTTATGCATAATAGGCATTGATATCCGAAACGCCTTTAAACAAGGGCCTGGACATGTCCCACCACCTTAAGTGCCGGGTCCGGTGGAATAAGGGATTTAAACTGTCACATTTTCGAGAAAATTCGTTGATTTTTCTCCCAGAAACTACAAAAAAAAGAACAAAAAAAAAAAAAAACAACAAACCACACATTAAGGCCTTTAAGGAGATCCCTTGCTACAGGCTCCAATCACCTGCTCGGACACAAGTTTGGAGGTCCTCTCAGGTATTTTTCCTCTAAACTTTCATGTAATGAAGATTTTCTGATGAATGAACTCATAAAAACCATTAAAATTATACATTACTTTTTTCTAAAATCAAGAAGCTGATATATTCTTATCTTATCTTGTGTGTAATCATGTATCGTATGAGACGTAATGTTCAGCAAAAACCAAGAGTTTTTATCCCTAAACCGAAGTTTTCTAAACGACCTTCCAAATTAAAACAATCATCTGCCTTTGACATCAGTGCTGGTTTTTCTGATATTATAAACGTTCTAACATCTCCCCTTAATACACTTAGTACAATCATTGCTTTGGTTTTCGTTTCTGTAATTGTTTATTCTCATAAAGACTTCTTTGAAAAAGGGATTGTCGGTGAATGGTTAAACAAAAATAAAGGTACCGCAATAGCTGACTGGATTTTAGACAACGACAAAAAAATTCTTAGGTCTATTAATCTTTCTACCCACAATAATTGACATTCGTCCTTCATCACGGTTACTAGTGGCTTCTGTCTCTTTTACCTGGATCTACCTCCTCCCGGCTCAAGCAATTTTAGAATATATTTTCCAATCTGCTTCATTATTAGTTTATTTTCGCACTAATTCAGCTCGAGCACACGTATTAATTGGAGCTCTTGTAGTAATTGCATACTTTTCAGGGTATGCTTTTCAAAATTTATCTAACCCAATAAAACCAGCAGATGTTTTTAAAGCCAAACAGAGTGAACCACGTAGTACACTTGAAAAGATAAAATCAAGAAGCTAAACTGATTAGTTTAAAAATTACAAAATGTATATTTAAAACCTTATTTTATTTCCTGGATATTATACCTACTCTCAATGCTGCTATTGTACTCTCAATGCTGCTATTGTACTGCAGTATTACCTACTTCCATGCGCGAGTATTTTTATTGTGATGTCCAACCATCCTATCAGACATAATCCTTTCATAACAACCGACCTTTCTTTTTCCAACCACATCATGCTTCTGCGTAGAACCTTTCCCTCATTGCGGAGCTTTGTTCCCCGCATGCTCAGTCACATACGTAAGAAATCCACCCAAAGGTTTTGAGCACTGAGGTAGCTCGACATCTCTTCCGCAGGAAACCGCTTTGATGAGACGCATTAAAAGTCCCGAGTACCAGCAATTTCAGCGAAAACTGCAGGAGATCTGGAAACTTCTGCTGAGGAAGGTGTCGCCGGACGTTGCCGTGAACGAGGACCGTTACTCGATCATCTACATACCCAACGGCTTCACCATCGCCGGAGGACACTTCAACGAGCTTTACTACTGGGACACGTTCTGGATCATCAATGGTCTACTCCTCAGTGAAATGCCCGCCACTGTTAAAGGTACAAACCAAAATTTTATCAGGCAAACATTCGAAACTAGAGTCCCTTTATACCCAGAGTTAAGACAACTCACTTTTGGTTCGGCTGAAAGTGGCCTAAAAAAAATCCAATTCTGATTGGTTCTCGCTCATGGAGGCCGAAACGAGTGCACCAAGATGGCGGTACCTCGAATGTGAACAAGAATAATGAAAATATTACCTAATTGTGGTTTATCAAGAGTAAATTGTTATTTCCATCGGTCCAAAATGAAAATAGATTAAGACATTATTCACAAACCAATCTCATTTTCTTTTTAATCGATCAATTTGTTGATGTTGTTGTTTTTGTTTGACAGACATCGCAGGATTTCTGATCCTTATCCCTCAATATCGTTCGTTTGGGTGCACTCGTTTCGGCCTCCATGGCCAGCCAAGGCCGGCTGCCTGTCAGCTGATAATCGAGTTGTCTTAACTCTGGGTATAAAGGGACTCTTTTCGAAACCACAAGATTAAAAAAGTTTCGGTTTTATCATTTTATCGGAAATGGATGTTGATTACCTGGACGTTATTTTTTTTTTCTCGTCCGGTTTCCTTGATTTCTGAGTTGTGATTTCTAGGCAAGAAATCACAACTCAGAAATCAACACTGGAAAAAAAGAAAAAAAAAAAAAAAACACATTGGATCTAGAGTCCAGACTCTTGAAAACATTGAGTATACTATTGATTCAATCAGATTTTTGCTTAAATCAAAAGGAGATCCGCTCAAATTAAGAGGGTTGGTTCTTGATTTAAGCAAAAATCCGATCGAATCAAGAGTATTTTTTCTTGTCGATGTTTTTAAGTCTGGACTCTAGATCCAATGTTTTTTTTCCAGTGAAGGAAACCGGACGAGAAAAAGAGGGAAAAAAATAACGTCCAGGTAATTCAAAAAGTGCCCAAGAGAAATCATAAGCGGATCCAGGGGGAGTGAAGGGATCGTTCATCCCCCTTCCCTCTCGGTTCGCCCGAAAAAAGGAGGAAGAAGATAAGAAGGAGGAACATAGGAAAAGAGGAGGGTGGAGGGATGCTTTAATTTGGTAATTATTCATGACGAAATTGACTCAAACTGTATCTTAGATGCTTCAAAAACTCACAAATTTTCTGGAGGAGGCCTCTGAACCTCTTACACCCCCCCCCCTACCTCATTATTCGAGGTGTCTGGATCCGCTTATGAGAAACATTTTAAAGATGGTGAAACACGGTGACAAATTCTTCAAAAGTCAGGAAAAATCCTAGCAAGTTAAGGAAAGAATCTACATGGTGGTAAGTCAGAGAATTTTGCTTCGATACCTCGGATTCTCCTGTGACAAAACTTTTAGATCACTCTGATCGCACCCATACACAACCTTGACACAGTTTATACTGTGCACTAAGTATGGTGAGTGAAAGGATTTTCAATTTTTATGCTAATAAAAAACACAAGACAAAAGTCGAAAATGTAAAAGGAAATATGCTCGAAGACATGCACGAAAGGTTTGCTTAATTTTTTTGGGAACGCTAATTAGCTTTCTTTCTCTTAAAGCTGCCTGCATCATCCTACATAATAAATAACAGTCACAATAATCCGGTTTTATATGATGCTTCTAATACCAAAATTATCGAATTTATATGTGAATGGTAAAATGATGTCTTCATTTTTCGAGTCATGATGAAAGTTCTTGAGTAAATTAGCACAGCTTTACCATTCGGAATATCTTCACAACTAAAAATCACACCATTCAAGGCGCCCAAGTCGGCGACTGGAGACGACATGACAAACTGTAATTTATAATTTAGACAACACTTTGAACAATATGGAACAATCGTATCTAGTTTTTGATAAAAACAACATATGCGTCATTTGTTCTGTATGGAGATAGGTGCTTTTGTAAGTAAGCTAGAAATAGTAGTCCCAATCGCAAAATTTAGTCTATTTGAGAGAGTTCTTTTTGGCGGATGTTATGGACGTGTTAATCGCCAATTTGCGCGCCTATTTTGTGCCATACTTCTGAAATCCCGATAAGTAACGTGCAGTTTGCTCCCCTTAAGTCTGTGCCCAGACGTCGCAACATATGTAAAAGGATAAAATATTATATATTATTGATGTATGCATTTTCTGATAGGTACATATTTAATTAGTGATTTAATATACCTTTCTAATAAGAGTTTTAAATATTTTTTTCCATCCAGGAAATTCCAATAAGTAACATGCAGTTTGCTCCCCTTAAGTCTGTGCCAAGACGCCGCAATATATGTAAAAGGATAACATATTATATATTATTGATGTACATGTTTAAATATACCTTTCTAATAAGAGTTTTAAATATTTTTTCCATCCAGGAATTATTGAGAACTTTTTATCTTTGGTCGTCCGTTTCAAATTCATTCCAAACGGAACCCGCGTTTACTACTTGAACCGATCTCAACCTCCACTGCTTATCCCGATGATGAACTCATACCTGCACTTCACAAATGATTTCTACTTCGTTCGAGCCAACTTGCAAGTGAGTCAGCTCAATTTTTTGAACCTGCATTTTCAGAGTAAGAACTGGTAAAAAATAATAGTACGTAGACTCTTGGAGCAATATAATTATTTCCTGTGAATTTTTGACGCTCCTTTTTTTATCTTTCCACTTTTTTTTCTTCTTTTCTTAAATACTTTGTTTTTTCTCTTTGAGAGACCCGCTGTTTAATGATAACCCATAGTAATTCTTGCGCCTAAAATCGACTAAAAAATTTTAAAAATGAAAATTGTAGATATCCTCATCAATGCATCTGTATCTCACGAATGGTACCTCGAATGCTCGAGCTACAAAGATGAATGAAAACTGAATGACCACATGATACTGAGACATATGAAGTAACTACACTTTAAGATATGACTGTAGGAAAACACGCGAATGGTCGGAAGGATGTGTCGAGGTGGACACGGCCGACGGCCGGTCCCTGAAGAACGGATGGAATTATCATGGACCAAAACGAATTCCCAATTTGAGTTTATATAGGGGTGATGACGTCATCAATAAATTATCTAATAACACGATAAACGTATCACAAGCACTAGCTATTAGTAGCTAATGTTCCCCCTGCATTGATATGAAGTTATGTAAACTGAAATGAACTTAGAATAGAGACAAAAAATGAATGCCTCTGGAGACAAAGTGTAAAGATTTTACAGAGGAGCTGTAAAAAGCATCATAATTTGTTCTTTTAAACATTTTAAAAACTTAGTTTTACAAAATGCTAGGGGAATGGAAATCAAACAAACCCTCGGTCTAGGTTTTACAATAACAGCGATCGAAGGCACAGTTTCCTCTGTTTCCCAATTGTTTCTTCCCCTTTACTTACCGGTAAAAATTAAAGTTCAGGATCTTGAAACCACCCGTTTTCACTGTATTCTTTTTTCAAAACATTGCGCCGGATTATACCGTTCTTTATGGTTCCGAAAAGAGATAGTGAGTTAATTTTATCCGAGGAATTCAGCATCTCAGGCCTTTGCCTTTACAGATCATATAAAGGGAGAGTGCATGTACATAGGATTTTAAATTCTGTACTTAATGGAGGTAAAAAATTTCAAAATGTTAGTTGTGACATTGGGATCATCGCAGGCCAGTAGGTTTTGTATCCCTGTTGACCGTTGGAGAGTAAACCTGAGAACGGAGATCCTTGAGGCCAGAGCAGTCCATAATCACGTGTTAGACGGTTTCACTTTCATATGAATGTGTGAGGCATAAGATGAACGCTCTTAAGATATCCATAGAATGTTAGACCTAAGATTATGGATTCATTCGGGATCCGCACTTTTCTATGGAGAAATAAAGCTGGAAGCAGAAAATTTTGGAAACTTGAAAATTTTTGTTGAGGTGATTCGATGGACGCCATATTTTTTGTCAGAATGACATGAGATATACCGCATCGATTAGTTCCATTTTTTCAGTTACTTGTCATCTTTCTCGAATTTTGAGATCGCAATTCTGTTGTCAAATGACTAAAGAACTCACTTCCTGATTTTTACGAACAAATTCAACGTATTAAAGGGTTGGTTTTTTTAAAAAAAGAAAATATCGCATCGGAGTGCAGTTTTGATACCAGTATCGAACGCGATATTTCCCCGCTAAGAAAACCACGCCTTAGTTACGTTGAATTTGTTTGCCAAAATTGGTAAGTGAATTCTTTGGTCTCCTGACAACAAAATTGCGATCTCAAAATTCGAGAAAAATGACAAGTAGCCAAAAAAATGTAACCGTTCGATGCGATAAATTGCATGTCGTTCTGACACAAAATATGGCGTCCGTCGAATCACCCTAAGTCATGGATTTTGATCTGATACAGACTATTCACTCATCGAATGAAAATCCCAGATTGATATCAGTATTTTGTAGATTCTAACGGGCGAGTTCGAATGGTGGATGGAAAACAGATCCGTGCAATTTACAAAAGGGGACAAAACTCATGTCATGTTCAGATACGATGCGCGGTCAAGAGGGCCACGACCGGAATCTTACAAGTAAGTTGTTCCAAGTCAAATTTGGAGTTGATATAATTGAGGGGCTTGGAGAATAAGGCACAAGCCCAGTGTTGAATTCTATGTTTTCTTTATTTTTTCAATGGAAGTTTCATGGGGAAGAGTCCCCCTCCCTAAAAGAAAAAAAAATTGGGACTCTACTTTTTTCAAACATCTTTCAGAAAATATATTGTATTTCTAAATCCGTGATCCAAAATTAATTAATTTAATAAAAGAATAATATTATGATTGAAAATAAATGAATGGTTCCCTGATAGCAATTAGACTACCTTTTACAGCGAGAAGCTACTATTTCTAACTTACTTTAGAAACAACACATATGTGATTATAGTTTCTCTATGCATGCAGCTATGAGCTTTTATGGATGAGCCAGAAATACAGTTTTATATCGCAAAATGCGGTCCAAAAATTTTTTTTCGTATCCACAGGAATGACTGGGAAATTGGACATCGAATCAAGTCAAAAACTGGCCAAGATCGATTTTACTCAGACATCAAGTCTGCTGCCGAAAGTGGTTGGGACTTTTCAACACGGTGGTTTTACAATAAATACAACAATCATAAGGGTGAGAATGAATATTGTAAATATTAAATAAAAATTTCTCTCACATTGATTTTATTGAAAATGAAGTAAATATGCATACTGAGTAAAGTGAGATTCATTGAATAGAGAAAAAAAAAAAATCCTCGCCGGTTATTTGTATTGCTGTTGCGCCAAAGAAGCAATTCATAATACGGAGTGAAAGTTTCGCTGTCGAAACAAAAATTCACATGCAGTGATGAAATATTTCCGATTAAAACAACCGATACACAAACATTAACTGATGCGGACACTTTTTGCTACGGTAAGAAACCACTGCCAATATGGAGCGGTATATGCGCGCATATCGAGTCAAGTAGTTACATGAGGCGAGGGCGAGGGCAGAATTTGAAAGTTACACGCAGATGAACCGTGAAATCGATCCTCTTCGCACGATGTTCGATCCGGTTGTCATGATTCCAAGTTTTCACCTTGAACTTAACCCTCTCCAAAAAAAAACAAACCTGCTATTTCCGCGCATTATTTCGACTTGGCAGGCGATCTTCCGTCGCCGAGAAAATATTTTTCCGGAGACTTTAACGAACGGCAACAAAAACCAACTAAAATTCTCGAAACCTGTTTTACTCTTTTACTTTTACTCTCTGTCTCTTTTCTTTTTCTTCTTTTTCCTATTTTTCTTTCCTTTTTTCTATTTCATTATTCTATTTTTGGCTAAAAAGGAGGGGAAGCAACACAACCCCCCCCCCCCCCCCCGGGGGAATTTACGATGTCCAGGATTGGGTCCATGAGCGCCTAAGCCTGCTCTAAATTTATCTTGTTCCGAAGGGCATTGATGAAACTAATTGTGCTCGGTGGATGTCTGTGTTGCATTTGCAAGAGATCGAGGGCCTTTTGACTTTCTTCGCACTGACTGCACTTGTTGTTGGTTACGGATTAACGAGAGGACGCGTAGACGACAGCACCTTGATGCAACTATTCAAACGGATGACCGTTTTGCATCCAAAAAATTGAAGGCGTTTTGACTTTCTGCGCACTCGCTGCAACTAGGATGATCAATGGACGCGTTGATGACAGCCCCTTGATGTAGTTATTCAAGCTTGACGGATGTCCGTGTCGCATATCGATGGCCATAAGTGCAAAACTTATCTCTATTGTTGTGTTACAAAATTTCAGAACCTATTTTATTTTTTCCAAGAGAAACAAGTCAAATGTATGGTCTGAAAGTTATCCTAAATTTTCTGCCGACAGAGAATTGAAATATCATGAAGGTTTTGTGCTTAACGTCAATTAGTCTTCCGGAAAAAAAATAAGGTTTGACGGAAACTCTGCAACAATTGGATTCAACAACTGAAAGTCAATTGGAGATACGTGGTTTCTGACTTTGGCCATCGATATCTAAAAAGCTGAAAGCATTTTGACTCCTTCCGAACAACTTTTATTCGCGTGTAGTGACTGGGACGCGTTGACGACAGCGCCTTGATGCAACTATTCGATCTCTATGGATGTCCGTTTTGCATCTAACAAATTGAAGGCGTTTTGACTCCTTGCGCAATAGCTGCTGTTCCTCCAATTTTTTGTCCAAAAAGATGAGGTTTCCTCCAACTTCCAATCTCAAGCTAAGAACATGAGCTTTAGTGCAATAATACCGTAAGAAATAATGCAATTGACTTACAGAAACACACGTAATTTAATGACAAAAACTGAAATGACAAATACCAGTCATAATAGACTCAAGATATCTTGACTCCAAAGGGATGAAAAGGTAGAAAATGTACGAAACCAGGACAATCAAAAACCACTTAAGCCTTCAGATACATACTGAAAAGATGCTCAAAACTGCATTTCTATGGTAACGGTGACGCAACAGCTGCAGCATACGCCCATTATTAACTCTATTTAGCTCTCCTTACCTGTCATTTGAGGCAAACCCTGAATGAACTCGTAATATAACTGAGTTAAAAGATCGTAATGGACAGAGAAAACGAGACGGGAGCTTCGAGACCCAACCTAGATCTACTGATCTATTCATTCATATCATTACTCTTCTTTATTTTGCGAGTAGTTGCAGGTGAGAGTGCAACGAATGCTCATCCTCACAAAAAAAACATTACAGACAAGCGTGAATATTGTCACGATAAATTAGCTAAATATAGAAAGTTCCGCAAAATAGAATGCACTTTACTTCTAAGGCCCCATTCTATGTTTGATCACTGCCCGCCCCCCCCCACTTAGGTTTTGCATAATGCGACAAACTAACAACTTGATTAGTGCACACTGCAGCTCAATTCGTCACTCTTCTGACGTAAGGACTGTCTCAAGTTCCACTTGGTCCCTGATCTCCATACATCTCCATGCTGTTCAGGGCTCATGCGGAAATAGAGATACACCCTTACGTCATAGGAGCGACGAATTATCTAATTTTCATGAACAATGCATTTTCTCGGTTTCCGAAAGTCGGTCAAGTTGGGTATCAAAGCATTGCCACCATTAGTTATGCAACAAGCGCATCTTGTGCGAATACATAATGCATTTACAAATTTTGTTCCGCTGTTTGTGTGAATGAGCAGTGCTCGGGAATGAGATTCAGGTACCGCCATTACTTTCCCCTAACTTCGCTACGGAGAATTATGTGCGCTCGTACTTATTTTGACCCACGCAGATATGATTATGTAGCATCGCGTCCAAGACGTTGGACTCCATGCTCATCGCTAAATTTTCACTTCGTCGCTTGAGCATGGAGTCCGATATCAAAGAGACCTCCTCAGTTTTATTGTCCACGGACAATGGAATACTTTTCTTACCTAATGTAACCTTAGCTAACCTAACCGAACCTACCTAATGTACAATTTCCTACGATAACACAGATTTTTCATCTTTGTTTCACAAAAATTTGTCTTGATACATTTTTGGACTCCATACTCATCCAATATCAGAGTATATTTGCACCCCACAATTCTGGATGCTATGCCCACTTTGATTTTTCGAAAAATTTATTCCTCGTTGATGTGAGCATCGGGTCCAATATCTTGGGCGTGATGAGCAGCCGAGCATTACATACTGCGCCGTACAAAGAAAGAAAGCTGTATGAACATTCGAGAATTGCCAAATTTTCTTCGATCAAATGTTTTTTTTTTTTTTAAATGAAAGTTATGAATACTATTTCTTGAAATTTTCAGGAACTTTAGGTGAAATTGCAAACAAAATTATTTGAAAAAATGAAAGGAAAATATCCATAAGTTTACCATAAAATTCGTGTTTGGTCGAATGAAATTTGGTAACGCATGGAGACTCATTAGGCGTTTTTCCCCAGCACGGCGGTTAATGAGAGCATGGAGTCCAATATCATGGACGCATTGCTACATTACCGCAGAGGTCTCCCCTAAGAACTTTATATATTAGAGTGAAAATACTTTTTTGTTCTATATGCAGCCACTTTAGCGGATATTCACACAAGGGACAAGGTTCCGGTGGATTTGAACGCTATTCTCGAGAGGAATGCTCGTCTCCTTAGCGAATGGTGGTACAGGAGTGGAGATGTCTACAAGGGCAAACATTACAAATTGGTCGCTGAGCGACTGCTCGAGTCAATTCATGAGGTTTGAACTGAAATTGGATTTTTTAATGAAACTTAAGGTGATTCGATGGACGCCATATTTTGTGTCAGAACGGCATGCGATATATCGCATCAATTGGTTCCATTATTTCAGCTACTCGACACTTTTCTCCAATTTTGAGATCGCAATTCTGTTGTCAGGAGACTAAAGCAGTCATTTACCAATTTTAACAAAGAAATTCAACGAAATAAAGGCGTGGTTTTTTCAGAGAGAAAACATCGCATTCGAGGGCAGTTTCGATATCAGTATCGAATGCGATGTTTTCTCTCTGAAAAACCACGCCTTTATTACGTTGAATTTCTTTGTTAAAATTGGTAAGTGACTGCTGTAGTCTCCTGACAACAGAATTGCGATCTCAAAATTGGAGAAAAATGACGAGTAGCTGAAATAATGGAACCAATTGATGCGATATATCGCATGCCGTTCTGACACAAAATATGGCGTCCATCGAATCACCTTAAGGGGTGCGAGTTGAAGATGTGGGATCTCTTGAACTTTCCTTAAACGATGTTTTATGGCGATGGGAGTCACCAGGGACTCCCCCCATATACCATATTAATAAAAGAAAAACAAGATTAACCATGCAGGTAAATCCAACAGGTGGTGTTGGAGGAGCGTTCCTTAAAAATATATCTCTGGTACCATGTTCAGTTGAGGGGCTTGGAGGATACGGTGCATAAGTGCAGTTTTTGCTGAAGTTACATGGATCCTTGTGGTGGAAAGAAAGTTCAAACTGACTTTTTTATGCTTAAAAATTGGAATTTAGGAGCTAATTTTTCACAGCACATGCATTTGGACTAGTTTTATTTGAAATCATTGATACCCTAATTTTTTCAAAAGCTGCACTTATGCGCCTTTTTCTCCAAGCCCCTCGGTTTCAAGCTGATTTTTAGCTGTCTAACGAATCATAATCACCCTAAAATCTTGAGAGAGTCTCCATAATGAGTCAAATACGACTTGCAGTTAGTTGTAGCACCCGAATTAGGGAGTGCCTGTATTGCATCTCAATCCTTATTTTACAAAAAAAAAAGTGCTGCGCTCTGATCGGTGAAAAAATTTTAGGATTTCCTGGGTTTTCTGATTTTTTACTTTTGAAACAATCCCTGAACCAAATAGGATGGACATTATCGCCGACCATGGACTTGACAATTTTGCCAACAGAGCGTAATATGTAACGAAGACCATATCCGTTGATAATACTGCTGTGCTAAGAAAAATGCCATATGAACATTCGAGAGTTGCCAAATTCCCTTCAATAAAACGTTCATTTTTAAGGAAAATAATGAATATTTTTCCTTGAGATTTTTGGGAACTTTAAGTGAATTCGCGAACAAAACTATCCGAAAAATTAGAAGAAAAATATTCATAATTTTACCAGGAAATTCGTGTTTTATCAAATGAAATTTGGCAACGCCTGAAAGCTCAAACGCCTTTCTTTCTTAGCACGGCAGAATACGTGTGCTGCGCGGGGATTTTGACTAATTTTCAAGGGGAAGCGCAAAACACGTGGCTTTTATCCCACTCCTTTTTCTGCTTTTAATTACCAATGTATCCAATAAGGCTAAAAATAAATAGAAATAATTTGAGACTGTTGGTGTCAATACATGAAGGATTTGCTCCATTTTTTTGATAATTGTATTTTCAGGTCTTCTGGCGTGAAGACCTTGGAAGCTGGTTCGACTGGCAGCTGAACGCTCACAAGCACGATGAAGCCTTTTACGGGTCAAATTTTGCTCCGTTGTGGACACAAAGCTATTTCATGCCCAAGGAGTTTGTGGCGGAAAAAACCATTCAGTATTTGAAATACGCAAAAGTTCTTTGCGATAATGGTACTCCACGGTACATCGGTACGTAGAACAGCTTGTTCAAAATAAGCCACAGTTGAAATTGATCTATTTAACTTATAAATTGGCTCTATTTGATCTGTAAATTTCTGTAAACAAACATTTTCTGATATAATTGAACCAATAATAAAACTTCCCCTGACAATTATTAGGAAAGGCTAAAGGGATGTTATATATTTCGTTACTCTCGGATACGGATAAGTATAAAAATGATGAGAGTTAATGTGAGAAACCTTGGACTGGATGACAACATTTTATGAGAATAACCTCGTCGGACAAAGTTTAATTTCAGTTTGCGTTGATCTAACTAACTAAGGTTCTAGCTAGGTAACTAGCTTCAAAACCTATCTGGGCGTTCCAACGAAAATAATTATGTGTCCACCATAGTGGTCGTAGAGATCATTGTTCATCTCAACTCTTTTGTTGAACCTTTCAATTTTCAGAGGGGAGGGAAAAACGAAAAATTTCATTCTAGAGCTCTGACTTGTGTAACGGCATTGATGTGCAATGTACTTATTTTTTCAGACTATCAATTTACCTCGTGTTGTTGTTGTTGTTGTTGTTGTTTTTTTTTTTTTTAAAGTGTGTAATATACATTTACTGATTCATGTGCAGGAACTCCAACGTCATTAACTGAGTCGGGCCAACAATGGGACTTCCCTAATTCGTGGGCACCTTTGCAAATGTTCTTGATTCAAGGGTTAGATCTAACGGGCGTTTTGAAAGCGCAACAACTAGCCGAAAAACTTGCGCAAAATTGGGTCTACACAAATTATCGTGGACTGGTAACTTCAGGATTCATGTATGAGAAGGTAAGACTACAAATAAAAATGGTAGGGGGGTAAAAAAGCTTTTTTTTAAATCCGCATAACTTAGTAAGTTTTGAGCTGTTTATCTTTTCATCGTTTTCAGATCAATATGTGTACCTAGTTTATTTTATGTTGTATAGTATTATAAAGAAGACTGAAGTAAATTTTAGACGTATATTTAGCACACGATTTATATGCAAATTTTAAATGAAAAAAATGATAGGCTGTTAATACATTTTGAAAAAAGCCCAAAATGTATATACAAATAAAGGTCCCCATCGATGGCCAAAATGAATTACTGAGGAAAAATGAGTATCTTCATGTCGACGATTCTGAACCTTTTAATTTTTTGTAAGAAAACTAAACAAGAAATCTCTTTGAAATTTGGTTTTAATTTTTGAATGAGCGAGGTACATTCTTGAAGATCCAACTAATTAGTGCAGACAGTTCTCTTGCTTTTTGTCTTTTTTCCTTTAAAAAGAAGCGACAACATGCAACGTCACAACGCAGGGAAAAAACTTTTTAGTAGCGATCGATATTTTGATTTGTTTATTAACTTGAACCCCGTTGTACTTATCATCCTTGTGCTTGTTTTAATGTTGCAGTATGATTCCACTAAAGTAGGCTTGACGGGTGGAGGAGGTGAATATGCGCCCCAGACTGGATTCGGGTGGACTAACGGTGCTATAACTATATTGATGAACAGATATGGAGACATCTTATCTCCTAAGCGCAGTGAGACCTGCTAAACCTCACAATCATTCTGGCTGTTAGATTTCTATTGGTGGCGAATTAATTATGAAAATGTCTTTGAAAATCGATCATTGGAACTCTTAAATTCAATAAAAGCGTGATCAAAAAAGCATCTAATGTGTACATAAGATTCAATCAAACAAGAGTGGATTGGCACCGAAAAAATGATCAGGAATACCGGCCTATTAGAGCTTAGATTGGCCTATTGTTTTTTTCTGTATGAAGGAAGCAAACCGGCCCTAAATCACTTTAAATGTCGATCGGCCAATTGGGATTTTTACTTGTTTTCTCGCCTACCTGTCGGCTTTTGCAAGAAAATGCCTCTATTTCTGACTAAAATTTTAATCTGAAAATGAATGATATTGTATATAAAAATGCTCAACAGTTTAAAAATGCGATTTTAAGTATTTGGACGACGGGCGTTCTCAGTTCGAGGTTCATTGAAGAAAAGAAATTGTCTATTTTTTACACATAAATGTACATTTTTACGACTATAGTTTCCCAAGAAAAAATATAGTATGACTGGAAGTCCTTGTATTCCTGCATTACTGTCATCCTGTGTTCGAAATATGTACAAGATAATAGTTCGATTGAAATTTTTAAAAAGTGCTTGATAATGTCACTCAATTCTTATCACTCGTGGAAGAGATGCAGAGAAAAAGAAAAGCAAAACTCCTGGGTTTGGCAATTCAGATAGTTTAATGGCTCACACATGATAAATAATCATAATTGTTTGGATAAACTAACAAGCTGGGAACTAAAATTCACGCTAAGATCTGCATGGAAATATTGCAATTTGAATGAACCACTCGAAATGCAAACTTGCCGATGAAATTAATTTATACATTGGTTTGTGCCGTTATTAAAACCAAAATATATAGTAAATTATTAAGTACCAATTAGGAAGGGCAGTGGTCCATCCATTGTTAATCACCATGTCAAAGAGGTATGTTCCCATGTTTCTTTGAAAGATTTTTCAAGTGCTTTGATGAGAGGAGTAGTAAATCTTCAGCAATTCTTCTTCTGGTTGTTCTTGGCTCGATTATATCATCAATAAATCCTGAAGAAAGGTCACAAAAAGAGGATGTAAAATGGCATTTTTCTACGAGGATGAGATGAGCATGATTTTCAAACAAAGTCAATTTTCCTGATCCTAGCATTGCACTGACTTAGTAACTAGCTCTCAGAAACTTTACATTGAAAAATGATTTTCGTCAGAATCGTTAAACTTGTCGGATACACCGGCAACCTGATCATTCTTTGGCTAAAACTTGACCACACTCTTAACAGCCATTCTCTCGAAGTGCCTCTACGCAGTTGGATCGCATAACTCAGCCTTTATCTTTCGTTTACAATTTTTGTTTCACAGAACAAAGGTTTTTACAATTTCTCTTGAGAATTTCAGACCAATTCGCTTTCAGTTATTTTATGCTAGAGAGGTGATCCCCTAATTTGTCAAAAATATCAGCACCATTGTCGCTTTTGGTCCTGCTCATCATTTGCTGCGTTCATTTTTCTTCTACTCTATTTACCTATAGCAAAAATATGGATACATCCCATAAAATGAAGATCAGAACTTCAGATTATAAAAATTTAAAATTTTAATAACTTAAAGGATTTTGAAAGCATTATATTGGAATGTATTCTCCCCCCCCCACCACTCCCGCAAAAATCTGTAGGTATGAAATGGTTCGATGAAAACACAGGGTATACAATTTTTTCATTTGTAATACGAGTGTGCTTAAAACTAGAGTGTATACCTCGTTTAGCTGCAGGAATAGGACTTATAAAATTGTCGATGTATTGTCTCTCTTGAGCAGCAACGTCAGGGTGTCCTTTGAAGAGAATTGCAACTGCGCCTTTGGCACCCATAACAGCGATCTCAGCTGTCGGCCAGGCATAATTTGCATCCCCTCGGAGGTGCTTCGAAGCCATGGCAGCGTATGCGCCACCATAAGCCTGTGGAAAAAGAAAGAACTGTGCAGTGGAATTATTTTATTATTAATCGGGACAATCCTAATTTTTGAGGGTATTATTGGGACGCTTTGGTAAAATTTTTCCTTCCAATGAAGGGTCAGATCAAAGATCATTCAATGAGGCAAACAGAACAAACGAAAGAAGGGAATAGAGCAAGGGAAAGGTCGCGCTTTGATGAAAGCGCAGAGATACAACTATTCGTGCTTGATGGATGCCCGTGTTGCGTCTGCAAAATTGAAGGCGCGCTGGCGCGAGGCGTGAACTCGCAATGCTTCGCTCTCTGCTGTCGATGAGGTTTCGCATGGATTCAGGAGAAAATTTTTAAAAAAGAGGCCCAATTACGTTTCCCCTTTCTTTGGCTGTGTTGCTCATGTAGCCCTTAAAGTAACACAACTAATCATAAGAGAAAATATAAAGAAAGAAAAGGAAAGAATGGAGCCCACTGAGAAGATGGTGACAAGAGGTCGTAAGTGAAATGAAAGAGTGCCAACATCCGCAGGTCTGTCGGAAGATAGGGTGCTGGAAGGTTATATAGGTGTGGTTGGTTGGTAGATACGTTTATTTGGTGCTTTTAACAATTGAGCCATCAACACCTTAGAGGAGAAATCAAAATGGTGTGGTACAGAATTAAAAATTTAGAAAGTAGGGGTCACAAAAGGTAGTACAGCGCCAAAGAGAACTGTAAATCGGATTTTATGTACTTATGTATAAAAAAAAAAAAATAAAAAAAAACACATTCTTTCGATATTCTCATTTCGGGATGCATAGCTATCTCTTAGATCGGTCTTTTGGGAGACTAATATTTCTCAATTATGACTTCTTGTTGCAATGTAATGACCATTCTCGCTTCTTGAAATATAATTTTAAACAGAACTGAATACCATAGCAAAGAGTATAGTTTGGAAATGAACTGACTTTTCGAGTTATAACGGTGATCTTCGGGACGGTTGCCTCTGCATACGCATACCGTAATTTAGCACCATGCCGGATGATACCATTGTGTTCCTGAGCCACACCCGGCAAAAATCCTGGCACATCCACCAAAGTGATGATTGGGAGATTGAAAGCGTCACAGAATCTAACAAACCGAGCTGCTTTTACGGATGCGTTTATATCCAAACACCCTGAAAATAAACGCGACCTATAATTCCATTAAATCAATTAATTCAATTAATAATACATGGTTTGCACAAACTATGAAATGTTTTTACCACCTGACCTCCATCTTTTTTGTCAATGGAAGATAAAATAAGAACTTATCCTAAAAACTAATTTAGGGGGGGGGGGTGCGACTTGGTCCCTATCTGGTAACTCATTGTCAGTTCGCCGCGTAACAGGTCGAAATAAAGTGTACTGTGCAAGCAGAAAAAGCTCCTTCATTTTTTGATGATACCACATAAATAACATGTATGCTAAGGTATTAAGAGGGAAGGCAAGCCTGAAATTGACTTGTTACACGAAACGGAGATTTTTTATACTTATTCGAACTTCTCTGGAAGAACGAACGCACCTCTGGTTGTTGGTTTTTCTTTTCTTTTTTTTTCTTAAATTCCATACTCAACCTCAAGAAATCTCCTAAAGTTGGAGCAGTAATAAAGGTAAATGCCCATCGTCTAAATCCAGTCTATCTCTGCGTAGAGACAAGGCAAGTGTATCAGGCGGAGTGTTGCCATTCATTCGTGAGTTGAACTTCTCATCTTGATAACGGAATTCATTGATAACGCGATATCGGAATTTGTTGATGATGTATTAAAATATAAAATATCATAATCCTCTACTTTTAGACCAACAATTTCGTTTAAAATATACATACTTCAGCAGGTATAGTGTTAACATGATCATTTTTAAGACTGAAATACTATTGCAGAAATCCGTTTGTACCTGCGGCCACTTTGGGTTGATTGCCTACAATTCCAACAGGACTCCCGTTAATCCTTGCGAAGCCTGTGATGATGTTCTGTGCATATTTTGGTGAGATCTCGTAGAAATCCCGCTCATCAATGATGCTCGCGATGACATCCATCATATCATACGGCTCGCTTGGGTCTGGCGGCACGATTGAGTCCAAAGTTGGTACGTCTCTGTCCCTGAATAAGGAACCAAATATACTTTTCAACAAAACTCAAATCAACATTTAATCCAATCGAAAAACAATCGCTATAGATCTCCAAGTACAAATAAATTCGAGCAGAAGGATTTCAAATTTGAAACTCGGTTGGAAAGCACGGTTTCCTTTTCTGCAGTATTCAACCCGTCAAAGACTTTCTGTCATACTTTATTTCCTACATGGAAAACTAACAGATATCATTTTAAACTTCGGTGATTTTTCTGCTCCAAGGAAAGAATATTTTGTGGAAATTTCAAGTCATAATGTCGATTTAGTCTCCTTTAAAAAAATAAAAGAGGAGCGGAGATTTTGCAACACCGCAACCAAGATATAATACGCATATTTGCATGCAGTTGCACCGTCGACTAATAGTTGGATTACATTTTGCAATATGGAACCACTATTTTTGGCCCATTTTAGACACAACATACATGTCATTGGTTTCCCTCCGCATATATGTGCTTTTATAGGAGAGTCAGAGATAGTCGCACTTTATTGTAAAATGTAATCCAGTTTTGCCGATGCCATCATTAGAAATTCATTCATGATTTCTGTCAGTTTCTTCTGTAGTCTTAAAATCTGAGAAGGATTCAATTGGTCCTGAGATTAAAGTTTACCATGAATCGAGACAAATTCGTGTCAATGGTGCCTCATCGCTTGATTGCGGCAGGAACGTCATGAGTTCTCTAATGTTCAAAATTGCATCGATGTCGTTAGAAAAACTGTTGTGTACAACACCTGAGAGGCTTGCGTGCGTTTTTGCTCCGCCGAGTTCCTCTTTGGCTATTGTTTCATTGGTGACGGCCTCCAGAAAACAAAACCAAAAAAACAATAATTAATTCTTCGGGTGAACCTATGCTTCAAAAGAGACGAAATAATGTCTAAATGAATTATATACGTATATGCATAAATTGTCTTTTGTATAAGCAAAAATTACGGATCTACCTCTTTTTCGATGATTGCTGGGTGATATCAAGCTGAATTTACAATTTTCACAAAATAACGTACCACGAATCAGTCAAAGAACG